GTCCCAACGATGAGCACATGAGGCTCTCAGGAGACATCTAGGTATAAACTGTAATGTATGGCTTATCTCCCCTAGAATTCTTTTCATGGAGATGGGGTCTTATTATATAGCACAGGTTGGCCTCAAATTTATGATCCTACCTTAGCCTCCTAAGTGCTGAGATTATAGGCATGCGCCACCATGCCCAGTTCTCCTCTAGAAATTTACGAGCCATAAATTATTTTTAGGGAAATTGGCTCTAATTGTCTTTTGTAGGATTTGTATTGTAAGTTTTCAGGGCTTAATTTCAGCATTGAGAGAAGTGTCGTTGCAGCTCTGCTATTCAACAAGTAAGTCTGTCTTGGGGACAGAGAGGCTCCTTAACTACCAGTGTACACCATTATTTCTGAAAAATGTAGTGTCTCATTTGATCAGTCTCTTTCATTCATTCTTTCTGTCTTAATTTAAAAAAAAATCTGCCCAGCCCTTGTCCTGGATATTTTGGGTCTGTAAGTTTAATTATTCCACACCCCACTAACCTGCTTTTGTTAGCCTTTGTTTTCTTTCGGGTCATCTGAGAAACTGGTGATTAGAACCTCGGAAATTTAAAATCTGAAGCTGAAGGAAAGTCAAATGATTGTGAGCCCAACTTCAGGCAGATGGAACAACTGCAGCCGGACAAGCTCCAGACTGGTTCAAGGTCACAGAGCAGAGAAGGGCTAGAATCCAGCATGTCTGGCTCCTGATCTTGTGCCCTTTCCCTTAGAACCCAGGGGTCTAAACCTTCCAGTGCATAAAGGTTACCTGCACACCAGGGCCTGGCTGGGGATCAGTGAAGCCTCTCCCCCACCCCCCGTTTGCATGTAACTTTGCTTTTAACAAAATCCTTTTTCCACAAAAGTTGCTGTTCATAGTTTTTTCCCACATCACAATTCCCATATAAAAATTCTAGAGTCTAAATAGTGCTGTGTACTAACATTTCTCTGAGCTCGTTCAGTGCAGGTCCCAAGCCCTGCAGTTCAGAGCATCTGTATCCATAGGCAGGCCTGTGGGGAAGGAAGCTTATGAACTCACTTTGGTACCGTCGCTGTCACCCTCCTCACTGAGCAGGGTCCTGTGGGCTATAGGGCACTCTCTGAGATGCTGGCCTTGGCCGCCATATTAAGTAGGGCCTGGAGATTCCACTCAGAGCAGCGCCTCTCTTTTTGTGAAATGTAAGAGCCAGAGGCAGGTTGTCGGAGAAGGAGTTTTGAGGAAAGAATTTCTTTAGCAGCTCCTACTCTGACAGGAATAACCTCCTTTAATTAGCCAGCAGGTTGGGCCTGCTGAAGCGTGTGGAAGGAATTGAGGAGTCTGTTTGAAAATGTATGAAACGAGAGCAGAGCACAGGCCTCTCAGTGGAGCAGGCTTTGAGCGTAAGGCTCGGAAAATGAGGCCCAGGCACGGGAAGTTGGTGGGAGGTACATGGAAGCTCCCTGGAATTTAGCTTTGATCTCCAGGAGGACTGGCAGCTGGGTTCCACCAAACAATACAATGCGACCGTTGTTAACTTGCACTTTTGCCTACATTAATAAAGTATTTGGGTCAAGGTTTCCACAGTTCTTCCTTAGTTTTGGTAACAGCTTTATTGAGATATAATTCACATATCATATGGACAATTCACCCATTTAAAGTGTAAAGTTCATTGGTTTTTGAATATTCACAGAATTGTGCAATTATCACAATTGATTTTAAAACATTATCACCTTAGAAGAAAGTCTGTAGTGTACTACTGTCCTTTCCCCACCTCCCGATTTCTCTAGCTCTCAGTAACCACTAAGCTACTTTCTATCTCTATGGATTTGTTCGTTCAGACATTTCATATAAATAGAATCATACAGTATGTGATCTTTGTGATTAATTTCTTTCATTTAACATAATGTTTTCAAGGTTTGTTATTGTGGCGTGTATGAGTACTTCATTCCTTTTGTACTGATGAAAATATTCTGATAGATGGATAGTCCCTCACTTCTTGTTCATGCATTTATCCATCTTTTGAAACTTGATGTTTAACTTTTATTTTTTGTACTGGAAATGGAATCCAGGAGTTTGGGCATGGTAGACAAATCCTTTACCACTGAGTACATTCCCAATTCTCTTCTTAAAGAAATTTTATTTTGGGCTAAGACTGGCCTCAAACTTGTGATCCTCCTGCCTCATCCTCTTGAGTAGCTCAAATTCTTGGCATGTGCCACCTTATTTGGTTGTAACTTTTTGAGGAATTGCCAGGCTATTTTCCACAGTCCTCATTGTACTTTTTAAAGCCAAGCTAGAATCAGTTACTCTGAATCATCCTATGAGAGTGTGGTTATCTATAGCTTGACCAAGTGTGACTAGAGACTTATTGTGAACAAGTGCTGGGGGGAAGCACTCAAAAATCTCCAGCCCAAATACAAAAGGGTCCACATAACCTGGGAAGTTAGAGCAACATTAGATAGATTAGTGATTTTGATGATCAGAGAAAGAAACTCACAGTTATAAATGTGGTCAGTAACAACAACAACAACAAAATAATGATACAACAACGTTTACTACTTTGGAAAAAGTTTACTGGTTATAAAATAAGCAAAGCTTTTATTAGATAAAAATGGATTTTAATACCTCTTGTATCATCTGCACAGGGAAAACACATAGAAACTTCTGAGTTTTTAGAAATGCCTTAAGGTGTCTAGGTATAAAATGCATACAAAGGAATGCACAAATCATAAGTGTAACTATACATTTTCACAGTGAAACTCACCCCTGTAATTAGCACCCACATCAAGACGTGGATTATTATTTTTTGGGGGGGAGGGGTTTGGTTTTTCTCTGGTACCGGGAACCGAACTCAGGACCTTGGGCTTGCCAGGCAGGCGCTTTGCTGCTGAGCTAAATCCCCAGCCCCCAAGACGTGGATTGAAAAAAAAAAAAAAAAAAGAAGAAGAAGTGGATTGACACCAGCATCTCTGCCCACAGCCCCTTTCACAGTCAAAACTGTCCCCAAGTAAGGAGGATATCCTGACTGCTAACACCAACATTCTTAGACACAAGGTATGCATTTTTAATAGTGCGGTTCAGGTGTCAAGAACTGGCCAATAGAATACATTTGTGTAGTTGAAAGGATGTCCTAAGACTAGGGCAGACTTCTGTATTGAATGATGCAGCATATTCTTAGAAATTAAAAAAAAAAAACCTTTTAAGCTTGCACATAAAATAAAGGGTATAACCTGAGCACCCAAGAAACTTTAAATTTATCATCACCTGCAATTTAAATATATTCAGTAGTTTTTTTTAATACAGTAGGTATTTTTTGTAAACACATGAAACAACAGACTTTAAATGTTAATTTTTAAAAGATATCTGCTTTTCCTTCCCGGATCTGAAGTTTATTCCAGAGAGCAGTCTATATTATTCCAGAGAACAGTCTCTAAAGGAAGTTCTAAAGACCATTAAACACAGGTGCTTTAATAATTCAAAAGATGTATGTGTAAACATATGCACATTGGAAGTACAGCACATTGTGGTTTAAGTAATGACCAAAATAAACAAAGCCTTTACCAGCAGAGCATAAAAACGGATACTCACTTCCCTTGGTTTATTGAGCAGGATATTAAATACTCTCACCTTACCGATAAGACAAGCTTGCTCATACTGGGACTGACTGAAAATTGACACCGCTCTGGTTCTTATCTGGGAAAAAAATCCATTATAATCATCTTATGTATGATACTTTGCAGGCATTAGAATTCTTCCTAGGGAAAGGGTATACTGTCAGGGGAAATCATTATGCAAAGGTGAATCATTTTTTTTGTTTTTCATTAAGCGCTAAAGATCTCATAAATTACCGAAGCAGATTACGATTTTATTAGGCCATTTCCTTGAAAGTGTGGGATTCTATGTTCTACGAGGAGATGCTAACAAAAGTCGTGAGTCAATGTAAGGAGGACGGGGAGTGTAACCCATGCCCGGTGCACCAGGTGCTTTCCTTTTTGGATGCTGGATACTTCCTAGGTGCCCTCGCCCTCTCACTCTCGGTCCCGCTCAGGTGCGGGACAGCAACCCGCCGGCCCCGCCCGCTCAGGCAGCCCGGGACGCAGAGTCGGCTCCCGGCATCCTGCCCTAGATGCGGTATAGACGGGTCCCGAGCCCCGGGAGCGGTAACTTCCTGCGGCCTCCTTTTCCCCGAAGTCCTTGGCTGAGACCTCTTCCCGCCGAGTCGCCCCGCAGCCTCCGGCTGGCACAGCCTTCGCAGGGCGGGGTGGGGAGCATAAAACTAGAGACTCCCTTCTTGGGAAGGGTGGCCGAGATCCGCGCTTGACCGGACCGTGCAGGGGCGAGGGTCCGGCGCTTCCCTGGCGCCCTTTCCAGCCCCAGCTCGGCGGCTGGGCCAAACTGCGCGTGGCAGGGACCGGCTCCCGGCTGCTGGGTCCCCCTCAGCCCTAGGGACCTGACTGAACTGATTGAGAGCTGGGGGCGGGCGCCTTCCTAGACGCCGGGAAGCGGGCAGGGCTCGGCGGGACTCGGGGCCGCGGCGCACTTGCGCGGCCGGGGC